GCACAGTCTCACGTGCCCACAGCTCATTTGGCGTCTGTCTGGTTTGGGGGACGCCTTTCAGACAGAGGGGTGGTATGGCTCGTTCACTGTTTGTTCTCTCTGGGTGAGGAGAGAAAAGGGGTAGAAGGTGTTAAGGTGGCATCTCTGTGGCTTTTTCTCCTTTCTCCATTCTGTCTTTTTTCTTTCTTTCTTTCTTTTTAATGAGGATGAATTCAGGTCATGGGCAAAACTGCAACCAGGTCCAGGGAACTTCCTCTTTTTCTGGCCTCCCCAGAGGGCTATTTGAAGATCATCACTGCTGTGAATTAACGATTTGCCAGCTGTCTGTAGTAATGTTCTAGGCTTTATGTATGCACACACATTGTACTTCAGTCTGCTTTCACTCAAAACCAAATACAACAAAAGTTAAATATGAGTTGAAGTTTCTGGTCTTTGCTTTTGGCAAGAGGTCTGTTTAGCTGAGATGGTTCTTTCTGGTGTCATCACAGGGCTGGCTGTGTGCCCACTTCACAGGCTGGTAGGGATATCTCTTTCTAAAGCTTTACTCTCCCAGAAGACCCCTTCAGGACCAGCGTTGCACAGGGAGGAGTTACTGCTCTTGTTTAGGGTTAATAATCAGCTCAGTATTTCCAATTAATCTGTTCCAGGGTCCCCTCATTTTTGCCAGGAGGAGGCATTAACATCTCCAGGGGGGCCTTGTTCTTATCTTAATCTCATTTCTCTACTTACTGCATATGTGATTGCTTCATTCCGACTACTGAGGCTGATCCCTGCCACATCTCATCCCAGAGAATGGAGGTACCCAAGAAGAGGAGAAATTTGGATTGGCCCATCTCCAAGATTCCTCCAACCCTGGCATTCAGGACTGTGAAGTGTTCTGCCATGAGTCGCTAACTTTTCATTACTTCCCTTTCAGGCATGGCTTCTCTTAGCCTACATCAGACCAGGCTTGTCCCTACCCAAGCATTTTGACCATCCCATTCTAAAAAACTAATGAAAAGTAACATCTGCATATTATAAAGTATAATAATGCAGAGTGGCTCAATTTTTGCTTAACCACTCAACAATAACAAACCTGTTAAATTCAAAGACAGACAGGAGAAACATGACATGGTCCCCTGGGAAGAAAGGAGAAGCCAGGGGTGTTTATTAAGTACATGCTGTGGGCCAGGGCTTGTGCTCTGTCCCATTTCATCTTCACAACAACCTTGCATATGTGATCATTTTGAAAGGGCAAACCTGAGACTCAAAGAAGTGAGGTTATCTCTGGTTGAAAAGGGCACAGTTGAAGAGAGTGCCTTATTATTATTGAGTGCCAAACCAGAAAGGCCCTTCCAGAAATGCAACAGAGATTGCAAAGAGAGCAGCATGAGCAAAAGCTGAGGTGGATGGTCAGGGGAAGCACATGGAAGATTCTGGAAAGAGTTGAGAGCTGGAGCAGCAGTAGAGAACATCCTATAGAAGAATCCAGGTGAAGGAAGGCAGGGATGAACACATGTTCTTGAGGAACAGTGAGGGTGTTGGCCTCATCAATGGCCCACGTTGGGGTGGGAGAAAGCTGGTGGGCTCCAAAGTCTACACTCCAGACAGTACTAAAATTGGAAGCTGGCCCAATTTGACAAAGTCTGAGCTATTTGAAGGCGTCAGAGAAGGAAGCAGTGGTCTTTCTGCCTCTTCGGAAGGGCCCTTAATCTAGCCAGAGGACCCCTCTAGGCTTCCTGGGGCAATCCAGTTTAGGACATAAATGTATATGTAAACACTATTTCCCAAAATTACTAGTGATATGACTGCCCACAGTGCGAGTTGCTAGACCCCTCTGCATGCATGAGAGGGAGCACATTGATGATGGCAACAAAAGCATCAAACATAACATCATCACCTTTTGGAGGTTTTCCTTATTTCTGAGTTTCTTTAGGACATGACAACTAATTCATTAATTCAGATGTGTTTGTGTTCTATTCCAATACCCCACACTCACTATCCTCACTATCCTACTTATTCATCTGTCTTTATGAACATGAAGGTTTTGGTAAAGATGGGAAATAAATAAAGAGAATTTGGGGAGAATACAAGGCAGAAATGCATTTTAAAAGTTTTCCTTTTCAATATTGAATCAATTCAAGAGGAATTCAATCTAGAAGGTCAAAACTAGGTCACATATTCTGACTTCCTTGCACCCACAGCTTAATAATCTAAAAATAGAAATCAATTCTTGTCTGAGAGTTGTGAAGAGCTCATAATTGCTTTAGAGTAAAGCTCGGAATAACTGTGCCTTCTTCCGCCTTCTATTTCTTGAAGATGAGAATATCATTTTTCAAGTCCAAGGCACTGTCAGTATTAGATTGCATGGTAACCAAGTAGAAAAATCTCTGTTTAAGATGAAATAATTTTCATCATTATACTGTTCAGGCAGAAATGAGACCCCTGCTTTAATGCTGTTATAAAGATGGCAGATAAGTAATATGAACCAATTGTTAGTTAGAAATATTTTCCCTTTAAAAAAAAAACAGCATTGGTTTACAACCTTTTCTCTTCCTGCTGTCAAGCTAATATTCTGAATCAAAAACTTGCTTTGATTTTTATGGAAAACTTGTTGCCCCTTTTCCAGTTACTGAATTTTCTTTCTCCTTAAATATCAAGATGTAGATGTGCTTGGAGCTTCATGATATCATGCACTTTAACAATAGGCCTAGTGGGGTTGGCTTTGGGGTTCATTTGCTTTATTAAAATGTTTGCCGCTAAATAGAGCTTTGGACTTCTAGAATACTAACAAATTTTCCATCATGGCTACATACATTTTTGCATATAAGGCTATATGCAAAATATAATGAGGACAGCTTTCTATTTTTAATTAGCATCTCTTTATAGAAGTATTTAGCCTTCCAACCATCCACAGTTTTTTAAAACCAATTCCTGGAGTTTTCATGAAATTTTAAAGTACCTATCAAGAGTCTTTTAATGGTAAAGATCAGCCATAAGATGGAAATGAAAGAGTCCATTAAAATATCATTACAGGAAGAGAAATTCTCTGCCACTTTTTCTTAATTCTACCCAACAGGAATGTAACTGACTTCCCTCCCCTGGTTCTATCTAGTTATGGCTCCCTATGAAAATCTGAGGCTGGCATAGGAGGTGTCATTAGAGACACAGGCACGCTGTCTCATCCTCAGGTTCGGTCATGGGTACATACATGCCATGGTCTGCTACCCCTGGCCTTTACCAGCTCAACCCTGCATCATCCCTTCTCCATACTCCACCTCCTAACAAAGTGGGCCCCCTGCCTCTTTAGTGCTCCACTGCAGAGCATCACTGAGTGCTCCACTGCCGGTGAGTGCAGGTGAGTCCTCCTCCACAGCAGAGCACACATCTTATGTCTCCCTAGCCTTATTTTAAATCAACATTTAGACATTTCCACAACCTGACTTCTTTCAGACCAAGCCAACTTTCTTATAAGCCCCAAGTCTGTTCTGTGAGGCCAGCTAATTAGCCCGCCTGTACCAGAAGTACTCGCTTTTTATTACCTTTAGAAAACAAAGCCAGGTTTGAGGAAGTGTTGGATGTAAGCTGTCTCCAAAGCCTCAGGAAGGGGACCCCCGCCTTCCAAACCCCCTCCTCCTTTCCAGTAAGATTTGTAGTCTGGTTAGAAGGACCATTTAGATGATGAAAGGAACCAGTGGACAGCCCCTGATTTATAACCAGTGTGATTTTTTTTAATATCTACCAAATTAATATTTTTATGTCTGTTCCCCCATCGAGTTGCTTCGGTTTGAATTTCAACGAGGGGAGCCTGCCAAGATCGTGTAGTAAAATACGAACTGGATCATAAATCCCAGCAGGGGCAGGAGAACGTAAGACAGATTGCTAACACCTCAAAAAAAAAGTTTAAATAAAAAAGGCAGGAATTTTCTTTAAAGTATACCAGGCCCAGCAGGGACTGGGAGATACACAAGGCGGCCGAAGGTGGAAGCTACTTTACCTTCCCAAGATCATTTTTCCAAGAAGCCCAACCCACAGAAAACCATTCTGGCGGTAAATCGGGCCCTGTGAGCTTTTCATCAAAAGCCAAGGATATCTCTCTGGGATGTGTGTTAGAGATAAGGCAGAAATGTTCTGGAAAGGAGCACCTTCCAAAAAGTTGAGACTTTCTGCATCCCTCTCTCTGGAGTGACCACTCAAACAGCTCATCAAAGTCTCCTTTCATTAGTGCCAGGCCAAGAGAAATAAATGCAGCTGGCAAGACGGAGCTTGAAGCTGTAAGAAGAAAGCCATGTGTTTCCTTCCTAAGACTAAAATTATTTCCCTATGAGGAATAAAGAGCTTTTACAGACCTTCTGGATGGATATGTCTTGGACGGAAACAAGTCGATTACTCTCACACCCTCAGTGGGCTCCAGTGGGAGAAACAGAAGCCCTTATTTGCTTGGTTTTATAACAAGTTTACTATATTTGAGCATATATGGCAAAGTAAACGCCCTTATAACCTAGCTTATTATTACACCGATTTGGATAAACTACAAGTCAAATCATGTCGGCTGAAACATAACTGCTACCCACAGGAGAAGTCTGATATAACTCAGTTGATAGCCTATAAAAGCCACATTAGTCCCGTCTGTCAACACCAGCATTATAAAGGTGTTTCACTAATCCTTCTTGGTGGAAAACACCAACTCCTCCAGCAATGTTGTCTTCTCATTTCGTGACTTGCCTCTCCCTGGGTCTTGGGACATACAATGTGATCACAGGAGCCGATGACCTCCTCGCAGCTATAACGAGGGGCGCCTCCAGCATCACGCTCCTCCAGGAACTGAGCATCACTGAAACACATTTATAGACCAATCACCCTTGCTCACCACCCTTTGCCAAAACACGCTTTGGACTTTTGTTTCACTCAGTCTGGATTCAGAGCCAAAGCTATCACCAAGACTTTCAGAAATCTTGTGAGCAGGCAAGTAGAAAGGCACAGCTCCCAACCAAGCAGATATTGAAGAGACTTACACCGAATTGAAATGCACGAGGAATGCAGAATCTGGTTTTATTTTTTGGTTCACAGATATAAAGGTTTTGAATTTTCCCATTATGGACATTTAATCATAATTATCAAAGAAGAATTATCAAGGTGAAGATACTATAGATATAATATATGTATATTTTTAAGGTAAGGTTTAGTTTTTAGTTTAATAGCCTAAAACTTTAGCACACTCAACCCTCTCACATAAGTCCCCATAAATGAGACACGAGTTTCACACAATCCCAAAGTAAGTGGAAAACAAACTTTTTCTTTTTATTTTTCTCCTTTTTTTTTTTGTTTTTTTGTTTTTTTTTGTTTTTTGCTAGAAAGGACATTAGTAGGACATTTACTGAAGTTCAAACAAGGTCTATAAATTAGATAATAATACTATAGCAATGTTGATTTCTTGGATTTGATAACTGTACTGTGGTTGTGTAAATGAATTTAGGAAATGTGTACTGATGTATTTAGGGGTAAAGGGGTAGAATGTGTATAGTGTATCCCGAAGCCATTCAGAAAAGAAATACACACACACACACACACACACACACACACACACATACACACACACAGAATGAGAAAGCAAACATGGAAGCTGAAGAAAAATGTACAGGAACTCTTGGCACTATTTTTGAAATTTTTATATGGATTTGAAATTATTTCAAAATAAAAAGGTTTTTTTAAGGTTTCCCATTAGGGCTCCAGAGTGACCGTTGCTTATTTAAAATAACAGCCTAATAGAATATATTCATAAGTTCCTTTGTTTGCTTCCCCACATTAATCTGAAAGTAATTTTATGTAGGTCTTTTTTCTAGGTAGGTCCTACTTTAGATATCATTTAAACCCTTAATCTTGAAGAAAAACAGAGTAGGGGAGCCAGAGACAAGACTGGCAAGACACGAGTTGCTACCAGTTTAAAGAATGCCCAAAGAAGGATTCCAGAAGCAGAAGACCTGGATTCTCCAGGGATGAAGAGTTCCAGATTCTGAGATACTGACCTCTGTGGTCCTCAGTTTTGTCATCTTTAAAATGAGGGGCACAGAGGCAAGTCTGTGGTGAGGACTGATGTGGCATGTTCTGTATTGTAGAATATAGTATTCGTGGTGTCTGGTTGCAGCTTTGCCACCTCCCCCCAGCTCAGGTTTACTTGTCTGGAGCAATGGCGTCGTGCCCCATGACATGTGGTAGGAGCCATGTTTTCTGAGTGCCTGAAAGCCCACTGGAAAAGGCTCTGCTTGGGCAGCTGGAGGGCCCTTCTTCATCCCCTTAAGACAAGGCTTGCCCCTCTATATCTTTCTTTGGTAATGGAAACATCGCAACAACACTCCTTTCTGCTGCTCAAATCCCATTTACATTGAAGGCCTGCTGACATTCATTAGCCCAAACCTGCTTTTCAGAGATTTCCACTCACTTTGAGCTAAACATGTGGGCCCCAGTCCTAAGCTGAAATGAAGATTTCGCTTTCTTCTTTCTCTTTCAACCAGAAACAGCATGCTGCTGCCATTGGAAATTGATGCATCTGAGTACAAAGTGTCTGTTCCCTGCACCTTTCAAACAAAACCATGACCCAGGCTCAACACCAGCATGCATGAGCACGCACACGCTCACACACACACACATTCTCAGCCCATAAAAGCCAACCACACTGCTAAATATCTAAAGCCCACCACTCAGCAAACACCGTCTCCTTCCTGGAACTTTCAGGGATGCGGACGACACCCTGTCCCGGAGCATGTGTGCAGCTTGAACCGGCGATAAATTGAGGCGCTAATCCTGATGCACGACAGCACCTGCAGTAACAGAGAAGAACGTCTCAGCAGACGACACATATATAAATCACATTTATTTTCATAGCACATTTAAATAACGTTTTGGCCCTGGGGATTTTCCACCAAGTAATGAAGCATCACCCAATGAGAGTCTGCAACGTTGCTCCATTCTGCAGTGCCCCCTCACAGCAGAGGAATAAAACCTGTGATTTATATGGATGTCAGGGGGTGGCGTAGGGGGCTTCCTTTCCTTTGCACAAGACATTGCTGTGCATCCGGATTAAAGATGAGATTTATCTGCAAAATAAACAAAGAACAGTCCCCTGACCCCTTTTCTCCCTTAATCACATCAGATGAGACATCAAACACACACGGAGGCATGCACCCGCTCAGCAGCACGCACGCACCCTCCACACGCACGCACACACAACACGGGCAGCCTTGTTATGAGATAGGAGGGACAACAATTTTGATAAAAGATGATCACCTGTGCCCTGACAAAGGTTTTTTTTTTTAATCAGCAGTTCCTTGCAGGAGGTGCCCAGCTCCCAGGTCTCAGCCATCTTCCTATTGGGGTCTTCAGTCTATGTTAGTGTGGACGCCAGCCTTGGGTGCCCAAGGTCCACCACACACATGATGGAGAGAAATCAAATCTCATCCACACATTGCAAGGTGGGAGTGCAATTCCAATTCACCTGCCATTTTCTGTCTTGGTTGTTTGGAGGGGAAAGATGACCTCATTCTAGTGAGATTTTCCCTTGGACGGTCATGGGCGGGTGTATGTCCCAGCTCCCTTAGGATGAACTGCAAATTGTGCTGTTGAAACCATCATGAGTTCTTGCCGAACCTTTCATTTCTTTTTCTTTTTTTTTCTTTTTCTTCCTTTCTTTTTCCCCTCCCTCCCTGTACCTCCCTTCTTCCCCCACCACTCTCTCCCTCCTTTTTTTTTTCCTTCCCACCATCTCGTTTTCTTCCTTCTTAGTAGTCATTTATTCTCTAGAGCTCACCAGGACTCCACACATGTCCTAACTCGAAACCACTGTCTACCTCGCTCAGTGTGGGCTGCTTCTGACAGAGAAATATGTAACCTACAACTCAGTGGAGCATCGCCTTGTTAAAACACAATTCATCATCCACGGGGCGAGATATCTACAGTTCAATCTGTGATTGTCAAAATATTTCAACTCCATCCAGGAAACACTCAAACAAGAAAAATAACTCACATTGTTGTGGTGTTTTACAGTTAGCAAAGTCTAGCCCATCCTGTATATTATCACAGTGGGTCTTCACGCAAACCTGTGCCATGGTAGTGGGGAGACCGTGGCATGCTTTTAGATGCAGCCCTCGCATTTGGAGAAATCACTGCTGCTTTAAGGACCAAAGGTACAGCACTTTACTTTTTTTGCCTCAGGTTCATGTGTTTCAGGATCACCAGCAAAACTGAAAGCAAAATATCTCATGCTTTCCTATGGAAAATTATTCCTTGGCTAGAGGAGAGTGCGGAATGGATGGCAGGTGGCAGAGTTGAAGGCAGGAATACTAGACAGCCAGTTTCACCTGAATCAGCCTGGAGTCAAGGTCAGGCTCTCTGGATAACACCTGGATGTTTCTAAATAAGCGTTATTTCCTAGAAAAACAGTCTCATATTCACTGATGTACATTCCATCTTCAAGCCAAAGGGTGAAATTTTCATTTGCTCAAATATGACTTTTGTGGAATGGAGAGAGACTCTAGTGCTACTTGTACAACGTTTCCAGTGCCTTGGGTTAAAATAAGTACATTTTCATATTTTGGTCCCGGTCACAAGCATAAAGAAATGCCAGCCCAGATTTCCCCTTATACTTTGCAAGTTTCGTGTCAAAGGAAATCCCAAGCAATCACATATGTCTGGATGTAAATATATCTTTGCTTCTCCTTTTAATTTCTCAAATTTGTTGAGATGATTGCCCCAAATTAATGGTTTTTTTTAAAGCCATCAGAAAAAGTAGCATTGCTTAGTAAGACTAATTCATGACTATTGAAGAGGGTCAGCCTACCCCTAAAAATAGGGTGACCACCTGCCACAGTTTGCCTGTGGCAGCTCTGGCATATGCTATTGTCCTTGCTTAACTATTAATAGCCTGCCTTTCACTTTCATGATTGTCCCAGTTTGGGTACTGAATTAGATGCTCACCTTACCTAAGAACTGTAGGAAAATCCAGTTGAAATAGGTCTTGTTCTTTTAAGGGCTGAAAACAACCTGAAAATGAAACTACAGAGATGAAAAAAAGAATAAATTTGCAGTCAGTTCCATGGTTTAGCCCTAGAAGACTGGGTGAGATTGTATCTGTTTTGTGCATGTAATTCTAATTTTGAACCAATAATGTGGAATAGTACTAATTTTATTAGAACCACTAGTCTGTGATAAAGCAAATGCACAAAATAATATGTTGAGTCATGAGGCCCAGATACGAATTAACTCAAATGCTCATGTGGGAGGCGAGAGGAAGGCCCATTATTTCCCATCTCATCTCCTGTTGGTGTGGGTGGCAGGCAGGTGGAGGGGAACTGGTCTGTGCTGCTGCGTGTGACTGGTGAACTGCAAGTACATGGGGCTGCCCTGCTAAACAGAACCCGGACATTGTGAAGACCAGGCCCCGGGGATGGGCGAGCGATGGACACAGCACTCTCTGCCAGGACCATGTGTAGCACACACAGGGGGCCTTACCTTCCTCCCCTTCGCACGGAGGAGCCTTGGCTTTAGGGGAAGGAATGGTGGTGTTTCCCAATTATTGGGGTTTGGTCTTTCTTGGGCAAACAGGGTGGTGCCTTTTCACTCCTGGTACCATCGTATGCCCTGTTTAGGGGATTTTTGTTTACCCTTACCGTAAGTATCTCAGTGCAGATGTGGAACCAGCATTCCCCAGTCATCAAGTCAGAGAATCCAGATTGTGCCATCTCAGCCTGGCCAGCTCCACTGTGTCCTCCATGCCTGAGCTCAGGCCCCAGGCACTGTAGGAAGCCTCTTCTGGTAGTTTCCCCGCTTTGTCTTTACCCTTCACGTTGGGCTCTCCCCACAACAGGCACACAGAGAGCTGAAGGTGAATCCTCATATCCTGCCGGTCACATGCCTGCCATAGCACTTGGCACCTTCCATGGCAGCTGTTTACTCCCCTGTCTCCCCTTGCAGAGCCTTAGCTTCTTGAGGCCAGCAATGATGTTCTTCTCTGGACTTCCACAGCCTAGCCCAGGACTTGGCCCTTGTCTGTGGAATGTATGGGAGGCATGAGAGCCCACTAGAAAACAAAAATAAGTATTAAAATAATAGGTGCAGTATATTTATTAAGCACTTAGTACATATATTTGTATATAAATTTTGCAATCCCATTTTTTAATTTATTTTATTTATTTATTTTTGAGACAGGGTCTCACTCTGTCACCCAGCCTGGAGTGCAGTGTCATCATAACAGCTTACTGCAGCCTTGGCCTCCTAGGCTTCAGCGATCCTCCTAACTCAACTTCCCAAGTAGCTGGGACCACAAGCAAGCACCACCATACTCAGCTAACTTTTAAGTTTTTTGTAGAGATGAGGTCTCACTATGTTGCCCAGGCTGGCATTCGACTCCTGGGTTCAAGCGATCCTCCTGCCTTGGCCTCCCAAAGTGCTGGGATTTCAGGCATGAGCCACCATGACTGGTCAATTCATTTGTTTTAATTGTAGTAAAACACAAATAGCATAAAATGTACCATCTTAAGCATTTTTAAGTGTACAGTTGACTAGTGCTAAGTATATTCCCATTGTTACGCATTCGATCTCTAAAACTTTTTCATCTTGCAAAACTGAATGGCATGGTAGGTTTTAAGTGTTTTGGAAGCATTATCTCATTTAAATCTCATCGTACTAGAGGTAGGGATAATTATTTTTCCCATTTTGAGATAAGAAGTTAAGCAAGGTCATGCAACTAATGATTGGTAGACATGGATTTGAAACTCATACATCTTTATTAAACTCTACCTAGCAGTTGTAAGGTGAGTAAAATTTCCGCAAAAGTGCAGATTTATAGAATTACAGGGTTTTGTTTCATCTGCCCAATTTTTATTTTAAAAGTAGTGTTTAAATTTTTTACTGGAAAATGATATAAAAAAATCCATGCCTCTTTATGAAGTTCATGATAAGAAAAATGAGACAGATTTACTATCAGACAGCTGCTGTCGATGACTCATAAAATTTTAGCAAAGAAAGACACCAGAGAAGATTGAACCCAACCCAGTTATTTTACAGGTGTGGAAACTATGGTTCAGAGTCAGGGTAGAAGTTAAGGAACCATCAAGTTCAGAACACACGACTCTTTCCACTTCCTGATGCAAGCTGGAAGATATTTTGATTTGAACGCTTATGATATTTTTCTTTCTAGTTAATATGTATGCTAATAGCATTTTAAATTAAGTGTGCTTTTGGCTAGGCACAGAGGCTCACACCTTAATCCCAGCACTTTGTGAGGCCAAGGCAGGAGGATCACTTGAGCTGAGAAGTTTGAGACTAGCCTGGGCAACGTGGTGAAACCAAAAAAAAAAAAGGTAAAAATTAGCCAGGCGTCACAATACGTGTTTATAGTCCCATCTACTAGGGAGGCTGAGATAGGAGGATCCCTTGAGCCCAGGAGGTGAAAGTCACTGGTGAGCTGAGATCATGCCACTATATGCCAGCCTGGGTGACACCAGAAGATCCTGTCTCAAAACTAAAATAAAATAACAAATTAAATGTGCTTTAGTCTTATATTCAGGGTCTCTGCTTCCAGTCCCAGCCAAGGGCCTTCCAACCCATCTCTCTGTTTTCCTGTCTCTGTGCCCTAGATCAGCGGTCCCTATGCCTTACCCTCCAGCCCCTTCTTATAACAGATATTCTGTAATGCCTCTTTTTTTCTTCCCAGAAATGAAATTCAGAGATAATCTACCTAAGCACATAATTTCAATGATGACAACACAATCAATACAATGCCCTATCTGTAACAGAAAGGAAAAACAAAAGTAATTTGTGATTAATATATATATATATATATCAACATGTAAATGTTCCAGCTGACTTCCAGAAGGCATACAGCCACAGCCAGCATTTGCTCCCTGTGTGGAACCCCATGGGTGCTGCAGGGGACCCCACAGTGTGGCCCCACAGAGCATGCTGTGCAGGTGACTCAGATACCATGGGGGACATTCATCCCATATGGAAGAAAAACTCTTAATGAAACCCTGAACACAATGAAGTACAATCTTCTCTTGATTTGCACGGTGGAGAATTCAGAGCCAAAAACTAAACATTTATGTATTTATATGAATATAAAATGAAACATATAAACACACACATACACGTGCCTTTTTGTTTAATTATAAAACAGACTCAGGAACTAGGCTTCGATAATTTTAACCAGGTTCTTTACTTATCAGTGACTGTCTGGTGGGACATCTAACAGATGTGCAGGAGGCAGGACAGCCTTTGGCTGTCAGAGGACAGTGTGGAGAGGAGCACACTGGCATTACTCCAGGCATTATTACTTTGAGGCATTCTGGGATCTCCAGCCAACGCTGGCCTCTGCCCATGGAATATCTTCATTGTCCACTCAATTTTATGATGACCAAAACGTCAGTCCAAATTTCCAAAACACCATAGGGTTGACACCCACACCCCTCTGAGAAGCTCTGCCCGTGCCCTGAGCTCCTTCGGTGCATGGACCTCTTTGTATCTACAGCCCTGACGCAGTCCTCTGCCTGCAGGTGGTAAGCCCTCCACCCACGCTGATGAGTGGGGGAAGGAAGGAACAAACAAGCAACAGGAAGACGTCATACAAAGAATTAAATGACACCAAACTTACTCAGAACACCCTCCAGAGACCAGGATTTTAGTCCCAGCACCCAATAATACTAGGTTGGCATGGGAATGAAGTCAAACTCATTCAGTCTCTCATTGTTTTCATGTTTGTATAAAAATGAATATTTTTATATTTACATATAAAAAGAAATGAATTAATTTACTTCCTAAAAATACATAAACACATACACACACATATTCAAACAGTGCTAAAACCTGAAAACAGCACATAGTATTAACTAATTACAGCTATATACAATTTCTGTCTATACACTGAAAAATTTTAATGTGAATTTAGAGATGCAGAGAAGTTGTTGTTTTTGAGATTTTTAAACCTTTAATGCTGAATACAGGATAATTTTTCTTTACTGCAGAGAATAAATATGGAAACCACTATATATCTTTCCTGTCCTACAGAACAGCGAACCAGAATCTGCAAGACATTTTTCATCCATAAAGTCAATAATCAATACCACCTAAAAACAGGAGTTGAGTTTGTGCTAAGAGTGTTAAGTAGGTTGTCTTGTTTAGTCCTCAGGACTCTGCAAGCAAAGCACCTCATCCCTATTTCGCAGATGAGCAAATGGAAGCGCACAGAAGTTGGTGATGAATCTGGAACTCTAATCCAGGTCTTTCCGACTCAGAGGCCAGTTCTCTCAACCACAGCTTTGTCCTCCCAGTTGGCTAGAATGAGGACACTAATGCCCCTAATTCAACTGTACGTTACAAAACAAGTTTTCAGTCCCAGAATCACAGTATTATGGGAAATACTTGGGTTCCTTTTTTTAGTTTTTTAGTTTTTTAGTTTTATCATCACCAAAGCAAGAAGATGTTGGCAGAGCTGTCCCCAGTCATTCTCCTTGTCCTTCATTTGATGGCTATTTTCTAGCACCTTCCATGCACATGACTCATAGTGACAAGGTTCACATGGGCCGTCAGTGGGACACAGTCCCGCCTTTGTGGAGCTAGAAGGAGGAGCAGACATTAATCGTATAATCATATAAAAATATACATAACCAGATGCTATAAGATGGTCTAGAGTTGCCATGAGATTATATGCAGGGGCCTGGCTTGGTCTGGAGTTTTTATGATGTGAATCATTTTCCCTTTAATAAAAGGCAAGTATCATTTACAGGGCACTTGCAATGTGCCAGCCCCTCTGCCAATCACGTCCTATACACCTTCTCCAATCCTGGAAGGTAGTTTCATCATGCCCAGTCCACCGGGGAAAACACTGAGGCTTCAAGAGCTCAGGAAACCCGCCCAAGGTTGGCAGTGGGCAAGCCAGGCTTTCAGGGAGGTCTTGCCAAGAGCCAAAGCTCCCGTCCCTTCTCTGCTCTGCGCTCCTGCCTGCAAGGGTCTTCACAACATTGGTGACTATTATCACAAAGCGAGAAGAATTTGAGACATGTGCTGTCCTTCCACTGAGAATCTGTGGTCAACCTCAGCTGGCTCCCCTCCAACCTATGTTCTCTGGGCTACTGGGCTCACGTATCCCTCTCTGGTCTAAACCCTGCAGAGCACTCCAGGCTCTTGTTATAAAACTGTTCGGCTCAGTAGAGCATGGTGGGGACCCTCTCTAGGTTGACCTTTCCTCCCCTCCATATCCCTGCTCCAAAGAAGCGCTCTGCTGGCCCTTCCTGTGTCTGTGATGCCCCGCCTCTCTTGCCCACCTGGCTGACTCCTATCTTCCAAGGTCATGTCCTCCAGGGAGGCCTACCCTGATTCCTTCAATCTCACAGGCTCCTTCCTGCATGCTGTCTTTCCAGCACGGCCTGCATCCCCTGGACTGCAAATGGCGGGTGTTGCCAACATGTCCTGCTCCTGGGCCTGGAGCTCCTGAGGGTCAGAGATTCCACCCAGGCCAGGCCTAAGCCCAGTCCCTGGTGCTCAAAGCCACCCATTAAATACCTACAAATTGAATTAAATTGATTTTCATCTTCATAGAAGGTGGTGAAAGAAGACCCTTCTTTTTTCATAGCACTTTACCTTGTTGGCTGCAGCATTTAGAGTTAAGCCAGATTCATTAACAAATACTAACAATCTAAAACTCAGTGATTGCCTTTCACCATTTTCACTTGCCTAATATGTTTAATTTGACTAGTTTCCCTTTCCTCAAAATATGAATATCCTTATGGAATAAATTTCAACAACACTTTTTTTAACATAAAAAATACTGTCTTTTGGAATATTTTAATTTTATTCATAATCTGTATTCTATTTCATAGACTAGCTCTGCATGTCTTTTATTTAACTGAATGGGTATCAAGAAAAAAATAAAGAATGGCTCAATTATTACAGGTGATAATTAATTTCTGAAATTAAAAACTGTCGTCTGTCCAATTGATTTGCAAAGAACAGCTTAATAGACAAAAGAAACTGCATAATATGCCTTCTGGAAAAAAAAGTCAATAATTTTTTGGAGGTAAAGGCATCTTTTCAAGATAATGATTGGTTTCAATTTTTAAATCTTATACTAGGTTTAATATAAAATTATTTTGACATTGTGCTGGTAACCCATTTGAAAAAGAGCCTGAAAGAAAGGAGTCCCCGCTTCCTGTGTCCCCCACTTCCCCTCCAAATAAGTCAGGGCCCCAAAGTCCTGGATGCATAAATAAATCAAGATTATGCTAATGACTAGAGCTGGGCACAATGGCAGGCTTTGACAATTCCAGGCAAAAGACACCAGAGGGCACTACAGGACCATGTTTTGTAATTTCAGACGCCATTTTACCCTTGGATTTGAACACTAATTTCTCAAAAAACTGTTAACCTTCTGAGCTCTGGATGTGGATTTATTTATTGCTTTCAATATCTTATCGCCACTAAGCTTAATTAGCTAGGCTTGGAAGGTTATTTTAAAGGACAATGCTCTAAAAAGGCAGACACTATTCGGCTTTCTCTTTATTTTACCTTCCTATAGAATGTCGGCATGTGGGTGAGCGTGTGTGTGTGTGTGTGTGTGTGTGTGTGTGTGGCGGGGGGAGGGGGGATGGTTAGCAAACATTTATGATTGAAGAAACCATTCAGGGAATCCAAAAACTAAAATGCAGGATTCCACTGCCTCCCAGTCCCTGCAAAAAAAAAAGTGATGTTTCAGGTCAAAAAATTGTTTTCATTGTTATTGCTTGTGTAACTGTCTTCAATCATCTATTAATTCGATCAGCAAATATTTATTGAAGCCTCTAATGTGCCAGTACTCATGTGCCAGGTCCTGGGCACACCATGATGCCTGAGTCACATCTCACCCCGCGGTGTCTCACCCATGATGAAAAGGCAGTTCTCTTTACTCCTGTGAGCCAGATTTAGTCTTAGAGCATCAATATCCATAAGTGAAAAGTGACACTTCAGCTTAGATTATTTCTCTTTTCACTGCTCTTCAGAATTTTTTTTTTTTTCCAGAAGAAAATAGTAAAATCACTGCTTTCTAGATGTGACCATCTCAGCCTGAGCAAGAAGGATCAAAACTCTCTTGTTGGAACTGCCTTCTCAGTGACTGAATTTTTATGAATCAAATAAAATGGTTGCTTGTGGGTTTGGGGAATGCTTTTTTTCCTTCCAAAGTCCCATATTGATTAGAATGAATTAGACTGAAATTTCACAAGTGACAGAAGAAAGTTCCACCACTCTTGGTGTCTAACGGAGCTGTTAAGCAGTGCTACCATCCAGGGTTGGGGAAATGGGACACAGGAAACCTGTTTCCTCCTCCCCCAACAATACTCCCAGCCCCATTGGTTTGTACAAACAAGTATGTGAGACCACGTGCTAACACAGACAAGTTACATTCCTTACCTCAAGTAATACCCACAAGATAGCCCCATTTCCCAGCTGAGCAAACTGAGGCTAAAGGTTAATTATTTGCCCAAGGTCACACAGCCACTACCCAAACCCAAGTCTGTCCACCTCCAAAGATTATGTGCCTTCTGCTACCCAGTATAAATAACCCAAAGGAACTCAAATACTGTTTCTTTTGAAGATAGATGGGGCAGACACTGATGTGTGCTTGCCCTGAGCCATGCCATCTTCTTCCTGTGCACACAGCTGGAGTACATTTCCCAGTTCGCCTTGGGGGAAGGTTGGCCCTGTGAGTGGCGTCTAGCTAGTGGAATGTGAGTGGCAGTGAGGCCTGCCCACCTCCTGCACAGTCCTTCATTTTCCCTCTCTACCTGTCACAGCCAGATGTAGAGTACTCAGCAGCAAACATTAAGGCCCCTAGGGACGGTGGGGCCACAGAATGAAAGGTGCCTGGGTCACTGAATTACTGCATGGAAGCTGCCCAAGAAACACTGACTTTCAGTGGTTCCAGGAGCAAGAGATAGCGTGTTTTGTGTTAAGCCACTGTGACACGGGGTTGCTTGTTAAACAGTTAGCTTTTGATACATAATACACAAGGAAAGATAATGGCTTCTCTGAAGGTGTCCATTTGCTCACCAGGGGACGTGCCTAGTTCTGTGGTAGTGAATTTGTTCACAATTTCCCTGGGCATCAGGAAAGAAGACATTGAGTTAGGTGATCTCTAAGGTCTTTCCCCGACCTGAGAAAAGCCTGTGGTTCTGTGGTGCCCCTCTCTCACCCGCGGGAGCCCATCTCCCACCACTCACATCTGCAGGTGCCAGCTAAGTTACCTGGACCAGGAGGGACTTAGCCCAAACTCTTACCCATCCAGGAGTCTTCCCTCCCACATAACACCTTCCCTCCACTCTGCTGGGCAGCTATACACAGATATGCCCCTCGGCAGTGGCAGCAATATGTAACATGTCCCCGGCAGGAGGACGAGGGGGAGGGCTTCACATGGCCCGGCACCACCTGTCACAACCTTCTCTGCTCCCTGTGTAGCCTGTGTGGGAAGATGAGCACCTTCCTCCAAGAAAAGGGCTGAGTATAGACCGAGACCTTGAAAACTGCTAGGTATCCGAAGAGTGAATATGAGGAATCCTGCTCTTTGAAAGCACTGCTTCTTCGAGTGATGTCACTAACATCTATGAAATACCATACTTAATCTCTTGTAAGTCTACCTCCAGTGACTCACGGGATCTCCTTTTCTGTCACTGAATGTGATATGCTCAAAATGAAGATAATGTTAATGTAGGGAAAAGCAGAACTGAGAGTTTTAATGACACAGACTCCTGGCCAGATCAGGAAAGGAGGGTGTCGTTCGCGGCATTTGTGATTCCGGCTGGGTCTCCCGTGCGGAAGTGAAACTCGCCCCCTGCTGGCCCGCCGCGGCGCTTTCAGAGGGAAGGGAAGCCAGGACGCCCGCGGGGATGGCTGCCCAGCTGCGAGTCACACACGAGCATCGCCCATGCCCGGTGCCCCCGCACTGCCCATGATAGGGACCTACTGAATTGGATACTAGTGGTGTTTCTAGAAAAATCAGGGAGGATTGAGACCTGGGTTTTCGAGTGACAAATTGGGGACGCAGATGAAAAATGCAGGAGTCAGTTGCATATGGTGGCAGTCTTTGACTGCCTGGAGAGAAAGAGAGAGAGAGAGACAGAGAGAGAGAGCGCGCGCTCACTATCAATATGGTTAACTATTACAGTGCACAGTGTTTGGGGCTATCCATTCCTTCCCCTCCTTCTTCTATCACAGATTCCTCCCTCTCTAATTTCAGAAGGAGGAGTTAGGGAGGGTCGGTGAGTGCCTGATCTAGGCCACTCAGCATCCCCCTTCCTCCACCAGAGTCCTTGGCCAACTAAAAACCATTCCTGGGAATCTTCTGTGGAACCCTGCCCCTCTACCCTCCAGCCTGCCAAGCCCTTTTTCTGTCCCCTGCAAACTAACCACCAAAGCTATTGATGGTTCCCACAATATGTATTGTTTGAATCCACTAGCACCTGACACAACCCAAATTGTGAATTACCATAATTACCAAGGGTAAAACCCAAGGTTAATGATGAAACAAATTAATGCACAGTTTAAAAATATGAAAGTGTTCTATGACTACTACAAAATGAAATAAGGTTAATTAAAGTAATTTTCAAAATATTAACAGAACCATAGTTCCAGCAAGTATAAGAACATTATCAGCACATTTGCATCATTAAAGGATTTAAACAATTTATAGAGCCATAGATAGAACACTTACATTTGTGAAGGTCAAAAAAAGGATAAACTATTTAGCTTTATTTTTGTAAGCCTGTTTTGTTTTCTAGATACTGTGGCATTATTACATCTAAGAGTCAAACTGCTCTAAGTATTATTTGTAGATTTCTATTTATGAAAGAGGTTATCTTGCTTATAGGAAAAATAACGGATTAAGCTTAACCATTCACAAATGGACAGTTATTTGTAGGTACTTAAACATGAAGATCTATCAGAGCATGGTAATTTGTCATTTTTAGTGCTTATTTGACTGTCTATAAGAGCAAAATTGAGTACAAAATGGCGATGTTTCTGTAGTGCCACTGCTAGTTTGATTGATAATGAGAAGATACAACCACCATTTTTAATTTTTAAAATGCAAGATTATTCTGGAGTAAATTAACCTAATCACACATCGCAAGTAAATTAATGTCAGTTCCTTACTTAATTGCAAAAATAATATTAACCTAAAGAATCTAAATCCACTTCTGACACATATTCAATTTTTATAATGTTACATAGATAGTTTTTCTGGATTATATGTAATGGTTTCCAGCATTAGCTTCTCTGCTAATTGGAAACGTTGGGAATGGGAGCATACATATTCCAGTGGTGTTGAAGAAGGTTGCTTCCAGAATTGATCTAGGTATATTACAATTCGGACACCATAAAAGAACCATTGGGTATTTTTCGTGGCAAGCCTGCTATAAACTCACCCAATGAGAACTTCTCAGGGCTTTCATTCTCCTGGCGTAAGTGGGTTTTTTCCAAAGCAGACCAACAGCTCTCACTTGGAGAACTCAAGTTTTCCAGCTCTCATTTCCCCAGTCTGCCCCAAGCGAGTCAAACAGTGTCAGTACTGTCTCCAGCAGCACCTTGAGGGCTGGTGCCTGTGTTTTCCCGAAATGAGGGTAGATGTGGTTCCTGCAGACTGGAGGAGAGTCCCTGAACTCACAAAATGTCTCCTCGGCCTTAATGCTTTCCAAGTTGGGAGATTTATGTTGCAACCTTGAGAAGGGCAGAGTAAATACAGAGCCTGCCAGATTTGTTTTCCTGTTGATGAATTCCCCAAATTCAGACTGGAAGCCCTCCAAGAACTGAAATATCTTCAAAAGGCAAAGTGTTAACCCTGAATCCTTCGGCTGCTTTTGCCACGTCTTTCTTTCCCACCCAGAAAGCTCCAAAATATCTCTGAGGTTGTGTTTGCTGTATGTGAAGCTCTCCGATGACTCTTCCTTTTTATCACGCAAAACAAGCCAGGGCCAAAGACCACGGAGGAAGAAACCAGCTGACCACATGGTGCAGGGATCTTGCAAGAGCTTCTCCTAGTTAGGCTTCCTAGAGCCTCACTCCTGCAGATTCAGTATAGCTTTCTTTAGTCATGAAAGTGATTCCACTACCTAGTCAAACTTTGCTAGCTTGAAATATTTGCCACATGCTCTATTGCAATTGTGGTTTTCATCTTTAAATCATACATCCTTAATCTTCTCCTTGGAAATGTAACGAATTAGCACTATATTTTTGTTTGTTAGTTTTTCCTGAACATGAGCCGTATAGTTTATGAACCAATCTAGATAAAATGATCACTTTTAATCCCCCAATCACTCCTTATTTTTAGCGTTTATTCTCACTGGCTGCTTTTACAATTTAAAAGTTGTTAAATATAATCTTTTTTCTGAAAATAAAATTACAACATATTTCTAGAAAACATGGGAAATGGGTATTAAATGTAAAAAATTTTATTTGTAGTCTCATTACTCACAGTTAAGCCTTGTTAACATTTTGGTATACATCTTGTTTCTCTGCTCGTTATTCTATCTGGATGACGACTTTTTTCACTTGGTCTTATATAATAAATATTTTCACATTATTTCCATCATGTTTTTTTGTTTTTTTTTTTTAGACAGGATCTCACTCTATCACCCAGGCTAGAGTGCGGTGGCATGATCATGGCTTACTATACCCTTGAGGTGATCCTCTCACCTCAGCCTGCTGAGTAGCTGAGACCAGAGATGTGCACCACCACGGCAGCTAATTTTTGTATTATTTGGTAGAGACAGGGTTTTGCCATGTTGCCCAGGTTGGTCTCAAACTCCTGGGCTCAAGCAATCCACCCACCTCAGCCTCCCAAAGTGCTGGGAGTACAGGTGTGAGCCACTGCACCCAGCACCATATGTTTTTAACTAACCTTTTATTGTTGGAATTATAAGTAGCGTTCCAGTAAACATATTTCTACGAAAACCTTCAGCCACATATCACATTAATTTCTTAGGACAGATTCCTATAAGTATCTGGGTCAAAGTGTAGAAACACTATGAATGTTCTCAATACATTTTGCCAAATTGCTTTTTCCAAAGGATGCATATCAATTTGTGCTCCCACCACAGTGAGACTGGCTGGCTTGCTGTGCCCTCATCCACATCGAGGATTGCTGTGTTTGCCTCTGGGCCTACACAATAGACACCTCCACTGAAACAGGTGGTGTGGCCCAGGTTTGGGAAGGGCTTAGACTCAGGTCAGGAGACCTGGCCTTCAATTTGGATTCTCCTATTACATAGCTCTGTGACATTGTAGAAAACCCTTAGCAGCAAGAATAAAAATTGGGAACAGACTACCCAAATAAGGTAATGAATGTGAAAATGCTCTGTGAATGCAAAATGTGAGGCCTTATTATGGCAAGGCACCTCTCTGTTGCTGCTGGTACCTAAATTTCAGTGCTAAAATTAGAAACTGGGTTTATAATGTAAATTAGAAACAAAAATAAAATTTTATGGAAATATTGATTTAAGGTTTCCTTTTTAAAAATAAGAGATAGGTGACTTTCTTACTAGCACCCTTTCTCCCATCTCTTTCTGAGCTCACCCAAAAAAAATTCTGTAGTATCTGAATCCCAGGTGAGCCTGCCTAACTTTAATGTGTGAAATAAAGTTGTATATTGTCTTGGATTATGCAAACTAAGCTGGTAATGAAAAGCGTTTTTTCTATTTTTGTTTTTTAGAGACAGGGTCTTGCTCTGTCACTCAGGCTGGAGTGCAGCTGCATGATCATGACTCACTGCAGCCTCAACCTCCTGGGCTAGCATCATCCTTCTGCCTCAGCCTCCCGAATAGCTGGGACTATAAGCAGGCACCACAAAATCTGGCTAATCTTTTATTTTTTGTAGAGACAGGATCTTATTATGTTGCCCAAGCTGGTCTACAACTCCTAGGTTCAAGCGATCCTCCCACCTTGATCTCACAAAGTGCTGGGATAAGAGGCATGAGCCACTGCACTCAGTCATTAACATGCTTATGAAGGGTGGATTTGAGTGTAATTGGCATTTAGATGGAGGCAACATTAACTCAAGACATTTTTCTATTTTAACTGTTGCAACTGAATACAAAGGCTTCCCTAGAATCAGGCCACTCTGTTCCTGCCATTCCAACACAGGATATTCTATCCACATTTTTTCCTGCTTCTCCTCATCCACATGGAGCCATATTTCCTCTAAGGTTTACCAGGATCCACCTTCTCCTGAAGTCTTTCCCAACTACTCCAGTGTGAAAGCTTTACTTTCCAAGAATGCTTACCTATGAATCCCCTGGCTTGCTCTAGAGTACCCCTGCTCTGTAAGGTCCTTTCATCATTTCATTTCTAGAGTGTAGACATTTCTTCCCCATCTAAGTCGTAAACCATTTGAAGAGACAGTTTCTTCCTTTGCATTTGAAGCACCGTGTATATTCTTGGCCATAAACTAACTTGCCTGAGGTTGACAAAGAAAGAAAGTTTTACCCAGGACCAAGAGTCATTTTCCCAGTAACTCTCACTGGGGAAACTTTCTCTAGACTTTGCCCCTCTTGGCGTGAGGGGGTTGGAGGGCAGGTCAGTGCCTCCAGCTACATTTCTTCTGGGAATTATTTTCCCCTCATTAATTGTGCTGACAGGATTAAGAATAGCTCAAAAGCCAGCGGCAAAGGCTGACGTGGACAATTTTGTTATTTTCTCCTTTTATTTCCTCACCCTACTCCTTTTGTGTCACCCTCCCACTCCTTGGCTAGATATATATCTTTTTTCTTATAAACGGCACTGTTTTTTAAAACAAAATGACGAGGTTGCATTTTTGTATCATCATTATGATTCCTAGAGAAACATTAAAGTTATGAGGGCAACAATGTCTTATTCACATTTTGGAGGGCTGAAACTCAGCTATATTTTAGTGACCATTCTAGATATGTTCCCATTTCTAGAGGCTTAATCAGGGCGTGTGTGATTGCAAGAAACAGAAACCTACCCAAATTGTTCAAGTCAAGGAATAGAATCAAGCTTCAGGGAGGTATACCAGTCTTTCCAGCACACTAGGCTTGAGATCTTTCATGATTTCTCAAAGGGAGCCCTGGTTTTAAAAGCACTGAGAAGGACTGTGTTGGACTAAGAAATTGCTACAACAATAGAGAGGTAAAATTCCTTGCTTCTCAAAAGGCAGCTAGTAAGGTTCAGAGAACCTTTCTAGTTATTGGGTGCTGCGGAAAAAGGTTGATGATATCTGCTTTCAACTCTAATGGAATATAAAGATTGTAACGTATGTCTCCAATTGGGGCATCAGGCCCCAGGCGATGACCCAAAACAACTTTCCTCGGATTTCAGAACACAGTTTCAAAAAGAGCATTTGGCAACTGTCCTGAGAAGAGGTTCTGAGAAAGAGCTCAGCAACCCAGCCAAATACAATCTCCTCCCAAAATTAGGCCAAAGTTGTCAGCAGTTGCTGAGGACATCAAGGCTAAAGTCAGAGCCCTGACCAATTAATTTGTAAACAAATTCATCATTGGCCTCCTTTGGAAACCACTCCATGGGATTTATCTGCCCTATTGGCAATCATGTTTTAAGAACATATACTAGGGGGGAAAGTTGAAATCTAAGTTTGTGCTCACCACTACCAAAGGAAATGATTCCATGATCCAGAACTTTGAACCACCCATTTCTTTCCATGTCATTTCACATTTCACTTCCATCTTAGCTTCTTTTTAATTTTAGAATCATCTCGCAGCTAATTTTAAAAAGCTAGCAGGTAAAGCCTCCAACACAAGTCTTCCAGCAGTTTAGGGAATCTAGCTTTGCCCTGGACCCCAAACTCAGTCATGCCAGGCCCCTCCTACCTACTTCCTTTCAACCTAGAATCTTCTCAGCTTCCACAAACTCAATCACAATGAAGCTGAGCCTGTCACTGATGTTGTTAATTGTGAACAAAAGATGTGGTCATAGTCTACCAAGATTTAGTTCCAATGATGAAATAAATACTACTTCTGATTTTATTCTTTTGTAAAAGACCAGTTCCAGGGGTTGAGCTAGTAAGATATACCTTCTATAAGCTGTAGACCTTGCTTCATAGGTACCACAGCTGCTGAACCAGAGGGAACAAAAGGGAAATATAGCAGTCTTCTGGACTATCAGAATTTCTCTTTCTGCTAGTATCAGATGAGATGAGCCATATGGAAGGGTGCTGAAAATAATAAAGCACTAAGGAAATGGGAGCCCATAAAACAAATATTATAAGGGATATCATGTCACCTATTTCAGGCAGAAGTTGAATAAATACTCTCGTTACCATTTTGAATTCAAAGTTCAAATCAGAGGCTGGGCATAGTGGCTCATGCCTGTAATCCAAACATTTTGGGAGGCCAAGGTGGGCAGATCACTTGAGGCCAGGAGTTTGAAACCAGCCTGGCCAACATGGTGAAACCCTGTCTGTAGTAAAAAATACACAAATTAGTCCAGCGTGGTGGCACATGCCTGTAGTCCCAGCTACTTGGGAGGCTGAGACAGGAAAATCCCTGGAACCTGGGAGGCAGAGGTTGCAGCGAGCTGAGATTGCGCCACTGCACTCTGGTCTGGGTGACAGAGTGAGTCTCCATCAAAAAAAAAAAAAAAAAAAAAAAAGTTCAAATCGAAATCAAACTAAAATCAGTCTGTGGAAGAGGCAAAAGTATTCTCCAACTGGGCCCTATGCTTGGCAACATTTCCAGCCTTGGTTACAGTTGGGCTGGGGGCCATGTGACTACCTCTGGCCAAAAGACCATGAGAAAAAGGGCTGATGGACTATGTATCACTTTGGTCCAGAGTATGCAGTAACAGGAATGGGCCCCCCACACTTGCTCACTTCTGCTTCAGTGATCCTGGAAACCACATATTGAGATAGCAGGAACCTGCATTCCCCGGTCACTGAATGGAGAAGTGCCCTCCTACTTAGAATGGAAAGTGCAGTATGAAGGCACAAAACAGAGATTTCAATGTTTATTGAATACCATAGCACAATAAAGCCTATCTTTTAAAGTACATTGACTTTTTCTTTTTAA